TCACTTTGTGATACAATATATTAATTTTAGAAACATATTAATGTATTTGTGTAGCAAATACTAGGCTTATCCATGTTAACACAGTATAGGGTAGAAGCCTTAAACCCACAGGGAATTCAGTATAATGCTAAAATGGGGAATTGTGACTAAATGTGGTTAGCTCTGACCCGTATTCCAATCCAACAAAGCTGACTGCTGGAGCCATGGGATTAGTGTGTTTTAACTTTTTAGTCTGAAACAGGTTTGTGTTTGCTTTAACTTTTGAGAATTCTCATTACATTTGTAGCTGAGCCTTTTGTTTGTTAGTGTCCTGAGCAGATTTTAAGATCTACAATGTCCACTGCGCTGCTGTCTTTGAAATTGGACATGCTCTACAACTTTTCAAACTTAAAATGAATTTAGAGAAATTTAAGCCTAATCCAAGTATAGATTTTCAATGCATTACCCTTGTAGTTCTGTAAAACACTGTTCTAAACCTTTGCATAGAAATTGGTTCATCAAACGATATTGTTCCAACTGGTTTCTTTTATGTAGAAATTCTAATCTTTTGAAAACTAATTGGAAAGTTAATGTTTTTGTCACAAAACTGCAAATCTTTATTTTGATAATTGTATGTTTACGCTTGATTTCTTTCAGGGTACTGTAAAAATATTTTGGGTAATTTAAGTTTTACAAAAGCAGAAGGTGTTTTTGACAATTATGATCAACAATTTCATGCATCCACAGTAGTTGAATTCTGGAAATTACTATACAGGGTATAAGGCAATAAGTCTAACGTACAGAGTTTAGATGCCATTGTGAACCACAAGAATAAATAGTTTTATTAGCTGAACCTGCAACTTACATTTTTGCCTTAAAATCGGTTGTATTTTGAAATGGAGATAATTGTGATTTTATCTAGGATTTTAGTTTTTAGGGAGGAGACAATATTGGCTGCTGATGCTGACTCTGATGCAGGAAGATGATCTGCTGAGAGAAGTAATGACTGGGACCAACACCTCATGTTTATTGATATACAGTTGCCATTTTATTAATGAGTAGTTCAATGTCCAGTATGTCAGAATTTGTTTTAAATATTAAACATTTGAATTCTGAAAGCTTTTAAAATTATTATTAGTTTGATAAAATGTGTTCTCTACAACAGTCTTATTAAATACAAAGTTTTTTTAATTTGTAGGTATCTTATCTTATGATGCAGTACTGAAAGAATATTTCCTTTTCCTGCAAACACTGAGTATCACTTTTCACAAACATATTGCTACATTGCTGCCTGTCTCTCTTTTATAAATCAACGAACAGAATATTTTAGGCACTCCTTAATTCAGTAGAGACTCAACATTTATGCATGACCCATTCTATTCTGCTGGTGCTGTCTCAGCACGTGATACAAAGTGCAAGCAATGATTGGTAGAGTTGCACTACAGCTGTAAAATGCAAATTGGTATTGTAACAACATCCTGTATTAACAGCTGGTATTGATTTGGTCAGCTCACCTGTTCAAATATGTTTCCTTATTTAGAAATTGCTGACTTCAATTTCATAACTCTGCATTAATAGGAATATTTTGCTCCCTATCATTCATCAGTTAGCAATTTCACAATGTACATGTTTGCAACATAAGTTTAGTGTAAAGTCCATGAGTAGATTTATCAGGTGTGGTGTAAACCACCATCAGACCATAAGCAGGAGGTTGAGGCAGAAATTTGCAGCTGAATTTCTGTATAGTGACATTTTGCAGTTAGGCCCCTTTTTATTAGCGGTGAGTGGGTTGATGGACATAAAAATTGAAGAATTTTGCCTAAATGTTTTTCTGTCATTTGTAGTGTCATGTTGTTTGTAATTCACATATTACTTTGCCACTGCCTTACTCTAAGTGTTGACTACCTTTGGAATGGCATCTATTATGCCCTGGTGTAGATTTGATGATGGAATTTGAAATAGCTTTTGTTTTAATGATCTTAAACTTATTTAACTTGAGGTAAAAGTTATATAATTGAAAGTGTGTGAAATGTGTTGTAAGGTTGAATCTGCTTTACTGTATGATTCTCAAATCTTCACTCACTTCAACAAGTATATCCCTTTTTTGATTCCTTCTCATTGTGTTTGCATCATAGAACATAAACATAAATAGAGTCATACGGCATGGAAACAGACCCTTTGATCCAACTGATCCATGCCAACCATGTTCCAAACTAAACTAATCCCACTCGCCTGTGTTTGGCCCATATCCCTCCAAACCTTTTCGATTCATGTATTTATCCAAATGTCTTTTAAATGTACCTGCACTTGTATCCACCACGTCCTCTGGCTGTTTGTTCCACACATGAAGCACTCTGAGGTGCCCCTCATGTCCTTTTCAAGTCTTTCTCCTCTCACCTTAAAAATATGCCCCCTAGTTTTAAACTCCCCCACCCTAGGGAAAAGACCCTTGCTATTCACCTTATCCATACTCATGATTTTATAAACCTCTGTAAAGTCACCCCTCAACCACCTCCTCTCCAGTTGCCCCTCATGTCCCAGCCTATCCAGCCTCTCCTTATAACTCAAACCCTCCATTCCCAGCAACATCCTGGTAAATCTTTTCTGAACCCTGTCCAGTTTAGTAATATCCTTCCTATAACATGGCGATCACAACTGAAGAACTAAACACAGTACTCCAGAAGAGGCTTCACCAATGTCCTGTACAACCTCAACACAACGTCCGAACTCCTATACTCGGAGATCTGAGCAATGAAGGCAAAGGTGCTAAACACCTTCTTAACCACCCTGTCTACCTGTGACACAAATTTCAAAGAATTATGTACCTGAACCCCTAAATGTCTCCCTTCTACAACACTAACCAGAATCCTACCATTAATTGTATAAATCCTTTCCTCGTTTGTTTTACCAAAATCTGTCACCCTTCAGCCCTTTGACCCAATTGATCAAGATCTCTTTTGTAATCTTAGATAACTACCTTCACTGCCCACTGTAGCACCAATTCTGGTGTTATCAGTAAACTTACTAACTATGCCTCCTATATTCTCATCCAAATTGTTGATACAACTGACAAACTAAAGTGGACCCAGTACCGATCCCTGTGGAACGCTGCTGATCACAGGCCTCCAGTCCAAAAAACAATCCTTCACCACCACCCTCTGACTTGGCTGTAGGAGACAATTTTATAACCAATTGGCAAGCTCATGCTGAATCCCATGTGATCTAACTATACTAATTAGTCTACCATGAGGAACCTTGTCAAAGGCTTTACTAAACTCCATGTAAACAATTTCTACCGCTCTGCCCTCATCAATGTTTTTGGTTACTTCATCAAAAAAACTCAATCAAGTTTGTGAAACACTATTTTCCTCACACAAAACCAAGCTGACTGTCCCTAATCAGTCCTTGCCTCCAAATGCAAGTAAATCCTAACTTTCAAAATCATCTCCAGTAGGAGTAGGCCATAAGCACCCTCCAGCTTGGTCCACCATTTAATAAAATCTGACTGATTTTTCCACTTCAAATCCCTTGCAGACCTAATCCTATTTTGTGTCAAAAAATCTTATCACTATCCACTTTCAAAATTTGGGGTGGCATGGTGGTTCGGTGGTTCAGCGGTTACCACTGCTGTCTCTCAGTGCCAAGGACCTGGGTTCTTTGATTCCAGCCTTGGGTGACTGCCTGTATGGACTTTGTATGTTTGCCCCATGTCTGCATAGGTTTCCACTGGGCGCTCCGGTTTCCTCCCGCAGTCCAAAGATGAGCACGTTAGTTGATTGGCCATGATATGTTGCCCTGTATTGTCCATGGATATGCAGGCTAAGTGGATTAGCCATAGTAAATGATGGGTT